TCTTCTGGAAGTGTTCTTTGAGTTATCTGATCTGGTTCAGTAGGAACTCCAAAACCAATTATTGGATTAGGAAGATAAACTACATGATCCTCTTCATTAAGAAGCTTCTTTTCAAGCTACCTCTGCTTCTTCTTTTTCTAAGCAAAGCATAGCCCAAGTTTCGCCTTTTCTTGTAATTGGGATTATTGCATAATGACTTCCTATCTTTTACCAGAAGAAGTGCGTCAGCAGCCTTAGCCATTTGAGCAGCACATATAAAATCTGTCAACTCTACAATTGATGAATCCTGACCATATCTCTACGACTATTGAAGACTCAGCATCTGAGTATTCCACTTTCGTCAAGTATAACAGTTTACTCTCCTTACCAGAATCAGAATTCAAGATTTCCTCGGTATTAGAAGAACTATCAATATCTGTGAAATCATCCTGAAAAATCACTTCATAATCAGATGAGTAGTTATCAGAATCAACATGTTGCATGAGTGCAGACTTTTCAAGAGCCCATACCATTGAGTTTTGTTCTCAAGTGGTTTTGTGACATCATGCAAAAATTCAGGCATATCTACATTTACACTCTCCAAAGATGATATATTCTCTTTTCAAAGAAGAAAGATTTATGGGATTTCTACACAATTGAAGAAAGACCGAGTTCACCACTTTGAGATGAACTTAACATTCATGGATCATATTTAGACATTTGCAAAATAGGAGCATTTTCATTCATTTTACCCATGTTAAATATTTGACAGGAATTTCAAAGATTTTAGCAAGATTTGAATCCATCACTCAATGGATCAATATTTGAAGGTAGAGTTTATAATGATAGGAACTCGTCTGAAGAAGGAAAAGAAGTTCAAAATGAGAAGAATTTGTTCAACCTTTCGCTCGAATTCATCACTCGATGGATCAACTTTTCCAGAGAATGTTCATAATGAGAAGAACTTATCTGAAGAGGAAGAAGAAATTCATAATGAGAAAAGCTTGTTCAACCTTTTGTTTGACTCTATCACAGAAGGAGATAGATCAACATCAACATTTCTAGAAGTGTTCATAATGAGAAGAACTCATCTGAAGAGGAAGAAAACGTTCATAATGAGAAGAACTTGTTCAATCTTTGCATGAATCTATCGTAGAAGGAGATAGATCAGCATTAACATGTCCATAAGGAATTCATAATGAGAAGAACTCATCTGACGAAGAAGAAGTTCATAATGAGAAGAATTTGTTCAAACTTTTTGCTAGATTACATCATAGAAGGAGATGAATTGACATCCCCAATGGAAGAGTTCATAATGAGAAGAACTTGTTCAACATTTCATCCTAATCAAGTGAAGTCAAATGAAAAAAAAAAAACTTATTGTCTTTTCGTCTTTGCCCTATTCTCGTTAACACAAGAATGAGCAAAGAGGGGCAACTGAAGACACTAGTTTATTTTCCATATGGTTTTTCTATTATTTATTTTATTATTATTATTTATTATTATTATTAATATTATTATTTATATTATTTTATATTATTAATTAATATTATTATTATTAATAAAATATTATTTACAAACAGGCCCAATCAAAACTGGACCGGCCTAGTTACAAACAAAACAGATTGACCCAAACCTAATAGAAACCTTAAAACCCATTTAGGGTTTGATCTCAGCTCCAGCCGCCGTTCCTCTTCTCAACCGTTGGATCTGGCTTGATCCAACGACCCACAGCCTTCAAGATACAAACCCTAAGGTATGATACCCTAGGGCCACGTCCCAGCCGCCGCCTCTACTGTCTCCACGCCAACGTTCCATCTGTTACTTCCCAACCGAAGTCTCCATAAGCTCTACGCCGGCCATCCACGTCTCTACTATATGGTGAGTCGCCACATAGTTTGGTGACTCACCAAAGCTTCCCCTATTGACCGGTCTGACAAAAGCCTCATCGAGGCTATATGACTACACCTGCAAAAAGAAGAAAAAGCTTGACAAGGACGGGGAACCAAATGACAACGAACCAAACAACAACAAAACCACGAAAAAAATAGAAATAAACCTTACCGAAGAGTCAGTCACCGGAGCCTCCAAATCTCGTCAGAAAACCAAAATACCGAAGGTATTTTTTATAGATCTATGTAAATAGGAAGCTTTTTAGGGTAAACGAGGGTTAGATTCAGTTTTAGATCACTCGGATATATTACGTGGGAGTTTTTGATGATTTTCGGCCACCACGTACGGTGGCCGGTGGTAGAGGTTGGAGGCGGCGCAAGGCTGCCGGTCGATAACCGGCTTCCCTCCGGTGAGGGAAGCTAGAGAGAAGCGAGAGAATTTGTTATTCTCTCTTAGTTAGAGAGAAAAAGTGAAAGAGGGAAATGAAAAAAATGGCCTTAAGGCCGTATGGTTTGGGGCTTAAATACCCCTCCCTGAACGAAGCCATTTTGGGGAGGGGTTTGTTTATAATTTATTAAAGGTTAAACCCCGTCCGCAGACCATTAGTTTTGTAATTTTACATTATAGTCACTGGAATCAACTTTATAATCTTTTTATTTTGGCCTCTTAATTTGTTTATCTTATAATTTAGTCATTAATTTACTTATATATAATTTTAGGTAAAATGACCGAAATAACCATTATAATTTTGTTAAATAATATTTTAGTCCCGAACAACATGTTTTAATTTGTTTTAATTTAATATGCGAATGTTATATAATATTAATTTAGTCACTAAATTAATAAATGGGTAAAATAGCATGATTAGACACTGAAATTTTAAATAAATTAATTGCGAATTATATATTTAATTTTAATATATTCTAATTTAGTCATTAACTTTAAATTATTAGTTTTTATTATTTTTACTTTCATTTATTTTAGTTATTGTTTAAATTTTATATGTTTATTATTAATATATTTAAAATATTATTATTATTATAAATATATATATATATAATAATAAATAATATTTATTTATTTTATTTTACTTTACTTTTTATTAAAATCATTTATATAAATTATTTTTATCCTATTTTAATAATATTAAAGAAAAAAGTTGTCTTAAAGCACCTAGAAGTCCGTTTTCTGATATTTTTATCCTATAAAATATATAATTAATTTTTAAGAAATATTTTATTAATATTTATTTTTTATAATATCAAAGGAAAGAGCTGTCTTAAAGCACTTAGAAGTCCTTTTATGATATTTCTAAATAAATAAATATCTTATTTACATATAAAAATTAATAGAATTTCATAAAATTATAAATTCGAAATAACAATATTATAAATTAAATATATCTTTGAATTTTTAAATTTATGATAATAGAGACAATTTATAATTAATAAGTATCAATTTTGGGCGTTGTGGTGGTGCTAATCCTTCCCCAAACGTAATCGACCACGAATTTTTTTTTATTAAAATTTTTGGTTATACGCAGATTAGTTTTATCTTTTAAATTATGTTTTCTTAAAAACTATTTTAAAAGATTGTTTTTAGGTATTTAACCTTCCTAACCTAAAAAGATCAATGGCGACTCCCCAAAAATTTCTTTTAATCATACTCATTATTTATTCATTTTATTTTTCCCGTCAAGTAAAATTTCGTGTCCGGACAAAAATCGGTTATTACACTCACTCCTTCCAAATATTTCAGATTCATTTACCAGTGAGCTAGTTAACCGTCATTCCCTGTCATCAGTGTCTAAATCACCAACATTGTGAGTTAAATGAAACTCGTTTTTCTTTTCCGCTACAGCATCTAATACAACAATAACAACAACAAAACCTTATTCCCAAATGTAATTGGGGTAAGGGGGAGGTAAGGTAGTTGGCTGCCCCCAATGCCAGGTTGAGAGCAGCTTCTGTAGAAGACCTCCGGCAGTTATAAAATTTAAAAATAAAGATAAAATGTAGTACATGTATAAATAAATATATAAATACATAGATTAACAGTCTTCATATGCAGTCTTCATATGCGCGTCTGTAATGGGAAGTAATCCCTGCAAATGAATCCATGCGTAAAAATCTCTGTATATAGACAGAAACGTTAGACCCGACAAAATTTAAAAAGATAAAACCATGACGAGAATGATACACAATAGTCAACGATAACAAACAACGAGAAGGAATAAAGTCAAAATGAGTTAAAACCTACACTAAGGCAACACTACTCTGCTACACTAGTTCTAAGCTTAAGTTCACGAGCCTTCCTGAAATTAAACACCGCGGAATTTTTCAAGGAAAAGAGATCACTTACTTTGCTGCTCATCTTCTTTCTAGCTTCCCATCTCAAAGCTTTTGCAGCGAACTCGTCGAGTATATCATCAGCATCGTAAGCGACATCCTCGAGCTACCTGAGCCAATTCTTGAGGGACTCACTCTTCCATTGCTTCTGCTCCGCGTCCTGAAGCACGGTCTGAATCGTAGTTAAAGTGCTCTCGAGATTTTGAAGCTCGGTTTCCAAATTGCTTGCGATTTCATACTCGCGAAGTGCTAGAGAATTTAGGGTCCCAAAGATGGTCTTCACAAGGGAAGAAACAAGTACATCTGCCATGTACAACACGCCCAAGAATTCAAACGGAACTTAGATTAAAAGCAGAATGATTTGAGGGAAAGCTATTGGTTTTAGAAACAAGTTGCTAAGTAAAGTTGAAGAGAAGAGAGGACGTGATTGAGGGAAATGGAATTGATCGTATATGTTTTTGGAAGTCTGGTTATGTCCCACACGGAGTTGACCGAGTGCGGACTGAGTTGACTCAGGAAAATCATCAAGAATGAATGCGTAAAATTATGGAAAATTCCTGTCTAGCATGCTTGATCAACAACACCACTCGTTTTTATTATTGATTTACTATAGAATCTTCGTGTATTATCAAAGTAAAGGCGAGGAATCCATAATCGTATGATACGAGTCAAGTTCACATAGACAATGAGTTTCGATCAGGTTTAATATCGACAGTTAAAATGGATGAATATTTAATTACTAGAAAGAAACATTTTATAAATGGCATTTGAAAAGACAAGGCAGAAGACATCATCTGTATTTGTTCTATATATCACAAGTGAGCACAAATCAAACTCAAACTTCAATATTATTCATTGGGTTCAGTAAGTGGTGGAAAAACAAATTTAAAATCATACAACCGATACTCCTGCATTCTCCCACTTCGGAAGGATCAATTATCACATAAATCACGTCTGGCTTCAAGTTAAAAAGGAGACAACAGAAACCAACTCAGTTCTTGTGCTGCATTCTCCCACTTTCTGATCCGGCGTAAGGATCGATCGTCACATTTATCACAGCCGGCTTCCTTGCAGAGAAGGATTCAGAAAGAGTGGATTTTAATTCATCAGGTGTCCCTACAAGGTAACCCTTCCCCCCAAATGCTTCCATTACAGTATGGTAAGCGGCACCCGGAACAAAGGAAGTGGGGGCAGGATCGTGTTCGAAAGGGCCCGTAACTTCTTCAGGGCTCCTACGGTCACCACCGTAGACACCGCCATTGTTAAAGACTATCACTACAACTGGCAACTTGTATCGAACCAATGTCTGCATTGTAAGACAATGGTAGACACATCATATTCAAAAGATACACACAATAAAAAGCTTCGATCAGAAAAGGGCATAAACCAACGACTATAATTTTGAGATTTCTTAAAGCATCTTTAAAAAAATAAAATAAGAAGACAACTCCTCAGGGATTTAACAGTCGGAGAGAGGACACGAAGAAAAGGAAGAACATCAAGCATCAAACAAAAAACAAATTGCCCTTCACTGTGTTATTATCAAACACCAAGCTTTCAGCAAACAACTTTGCTGCTAATCAAACAACTGCTATCCGATTCATTATTACAAAATAAGTTGTCTTTAATCCAAATTTTCTCTCACAATTTGGCTAACCTGGTCAAGAAAAGCAGGGAATTTTTCTTTCGCCAAAAAGGCCAAACAAGGATAAGATATATTACATAGGCCCTACAAAAAACCATCACCGCTACCTTAGGCGGGATTCGATTAATAGAAAAATGAAAATTAGTTCAATCATAATAAGCAACAGGAAGTGTAATATTAAACCTCTTTACTATCAACATAAGCATTCGCGTTAGATTTCTTCATCAAAACTAAACATAAAATGCCCAAGAATAGGGATAATAAACTTAATTCTCCAAATGACTTTACATTAGGAAACATACCTCAACCTCCATTGCACTGAACCCAAATCCCGAGTCACCTTCAACCGCAACCACAAGCCGATCGGGATTAGACGCAGCAGCTGCAATGCAATAACCTAAACCAACTCCCATTGTCCCCCAAGTTCCTGCATCCAGCCTAGTCCTAGGCTCTGTCTGGACCAAAACGGACCTACCAACATCCATAGTATTTGCCCCTTCCGAAACCACCACCGGAGCCGGACTCCCAAGCCCCAAAATAGCATCTCTTATAATTCTCATAGGAGTCAAAAAATTAAACGGCACAACATCTTTTGCCAACTGAGCTTCCATTTTCGACACATTATCCTTCACCTTCTTCGAAATAGCCTCAACCCAAGGATGAGACTTACCTAAACAAAAAGGGTCATCTTTAATCTCCTTATTAATCATCTCCAAAACCTTCTTAGCATCCCCAACTAAACCTAAATGGGGGTTTCTCAACTTAATCTCTTCCTCACAGACATCCACTAAAATGAACTTCACATCTTTATCCCATTTAGGACTCTCCCCAAAATGCAATAACCAATTGAGCCTTGCTCCAACCACCAACGCCACATCGCATTTACCGATGGCGAGTGACCTCGCGGCACTGGCGGCTAACTCATGGTTATCGTTTACCAGTCCTTTACCCATTGGAGTTGGCAAAAAGGGGATTCCCGTTCTTTCAATAAACTTCCTTAGTTCCCCTTCAGCTCGGCCATAAGCAGCCCCTTTGCCAAACACAATCAATGGCCTTTCCGCCTTCCTTAACAACCTAACCGCCTTTTCGATCTCAGAATTCGGCGGAGCTTTAGGTTCTTCAAAAGACCGTCCTTTCTCGACTTCAGTCAACAATTTCTCAGCTTCGGATTCAGTTATCGTTTGATGCAGTACATCGGTTGGTATATCCAAATAACACCCACCGGGTCTACCCGAAACCGCATGATCCAAAACCCTAGCAACACAATTGGGAATTTCCTTGATATCTTTGGCTTTAACCGAGAATTTCGAGAAGGGTTTCACAGCTTCGATCTGATCAAGCTCCTGGAAATCTCCGAGGCCGGCATCCTTCTGGTCGGAGGAGCCGGAGATCATGACCATGGGCCAGGTGTTGATCATAGCATTGGACAAGCCGGCCAGACCGTGGACACAACCAGGACCGGAAACGGTCAAGAGAAGACCGGGTCGACCCGTGAGGTAGCCGTAAGCTGAAGCAGCGTAACCAGCGGATTGTTCGTTGTGAAAAGCGATGAAACGGATACCCAATTGGACGGCACGGTTGGCGAGAGAAGTAACAGGTATACCCACGACGCCAAACATGTGGGTAATGCCGAAACGGGCAAAGGATTTAGCTGCTAAACCATTGCCGTCGAAGCAGTCCGACATTTTTCCTCTCTACTTTTTTTTTTGGATGGAAGTTTGTGTGGTGAGAATTCTAAATAAACTAAAAATTTGTTTATAACTGAAAAAATAAATTATAAAGTGTGGGTGAAGGAATGAGGATTGGTTGATCAGTATTATTATTGATCTAACACCGGTCAGATTATATTTCTCGATCTAACATCTTTTGGATATAGCGCGCCACGCTATATTTTCCGGTCAGACTATATTTTTCCTCTCTGTACCGCGCTATATATTGATTTGGCGCCACGTGGATATAGCGCGCCTCCTGCCCCGCGATATACGGTGATCTGGCGCCACGTGGGTATAACGCGCCCCCTGATCCGCACTATAGCTGGATATCTGACAAGTGGGGTATAGTGCGGTGCAGGGGGCGCACTATACCCCTAATTACCAACCTTTCACGTCCCCATCCTCCCTATAAATACTCCCATCCTCAATCACTTTTATCACACCAAATTCTCTCAAATTCTCTAAATTTCTCTTAAATACTCTCTTTTTAAGGTATATTTTATAATATTTTTACTATTATGTTTTTACTTTATTTAATATTTTACTAATATAATTCTTTTGCAGATATATAATGGAAGACAATCTACTTCGCTCGGATGTAAATCATATATCTCTACACTTTGCTGATACGGTAACATTTTAACGTTTTAATTTAATTTAAATTATTAGTAATATTTAGTTGATTTATTTAATGCATGATTATTAAATTAAGAATTAAATATCTCGACACTTTGCTGATACGGTAACATTTTAACGTTTTAATTTAATTTAAATTATTAGTAATATTTAGTTGATTTATTTAATGCATGATTATTAAATTAAGAATTAAATATCTCGACACTTTGCTGATACGGTAACATTTTAACGTTTTAATGTACCTGCTCAGGATGACGACGACGACGACGACGACGATGATGACAGCGAGGAGTCAGAACTAGTGATACGAAGAAATCTTCCTCGAGACCGACAGCCACCGCCATGCGGAACACATTCGCGACGCAAGCATCGATAGATTTTTTTATTATATTTGTATTTACTTTATTTTGTTTAATTGTAATTTTTTTTATTTCTCATTTAATATTTACTTTATTTTGTTAAATTTGTTGGATTTTTTTAATATATTTTAGTTAATTTTGTTTATTACCATTTAATATCAGTTATTGTAATTTGGTTATCATTTACCATTTAATTCTTATTGTAAGTTTGTTGTATTTTAGTTAATTTCGAAGTCCATAATTGTCCCAAGATTCAACGTCCGCACCAGCCTAAACCAACCTGGAAGTTCGTTGTAAGATGCATCTCATTCGCCATGAAGTTTGACAATGGAATTTTGTTTTGCCAACCAAGCTTTTTTATAGGAGACGGTGTACCCATACTGTGATTGTATAGCTAAAATCAACACTGCAACAACTATATGAGAGCTTGCATTTACCATGGGCATGATGGCTTCTCATATCACTTCAGAGTCCAAGTTCGGATGATCTTGGTTGACCCCTCCAGCACAACATGTGTGAGGACCGTTGTATATTATTAGTTCCTATATGTTGTTTTTCCTCTTCATTTTCGATACGCGAACCATCCAATTGCAGCCGTTTTCGCGTCGGGCACAGTAGCATATATATTTTTTGGTCGTCGATCGGTTGACTCTGGACTGAACAGAATTACGGATATTGTAATTTTTGATAGCCATCATCGCTTCTTCTTTGCTTGAAAACTCCATGCCTAAAGATAACTCACCATTATTTATTGATGAGTAATATCAATAGTCACCGAGATAAGGCATATCCGCAAATTCTGGCCCGTACATTACACCATAATCAGCTTCATACATGTGTGCAGGAGGGTCAATTTGTGTCACATTTCCTGGAACTTCATCATCATCGGAGTTGAATTGCGGTGATTCTGGGTGAATGAATAGTCCAGTCTCAGCATCATTCGCACCAGGCTCACAAAGCGGTTCTTCTGGTGGAGATGATGGTTCCTCCATGCTCTTCACATTTAGGTCGAATAACCTACTACTTGCACGCCTTCCCCTTGAACTGTAAGGCATATCGACATTGAGATCGAAAAAGCTCGCAGTCGAATGCCTCCCCCTGGAGCTTGAAGCCATCGTGTCAAATGGAAACTGCACAGATGGTTGCATCGATGTCATCTCCATATGGTCAAAGAAATTTGCAGATGAATGCCTTCCCCTTGAACTGGACGCGGTGTTGCCATACAGATTGTTCGTGGACCCACCTCGGTACATTGAACTGGTTCCTCCATTTAGGTCGAAGAACCTACTACTTGCACGCCTTCCCCTTGAACTGGAAGGCATATCGACATTGAGATCGAAAAAGCTCGCAGTCGAATGCCTCCCCCTGGAGCTTGAAGCCATCGTGTCAAATGGAAACTGCACAGATGGTTGCATCGATGTCATCTCCATATGGTCAAAGAAATTTGCAAATGAATGCCTTCCCCTTGAACTGGACGCGGTGTTGCCATACAGATTGTTCGTGGACCCACCGCGGTACATATCATAAGGAGTTGCTGATGAATGTCTCCCCATTATGGCATTAAAATCATTACACATTATTGTAGTTGGGCTGTCAACTTTATCAACTTGTTCAGCCAGCCCATAGTGTGAGCTTAAAGATTGACCCCGAACATCATGCATTTGAACAAAATGTGCATACATATCAATAGCGGCGTCTGAATAATTACTTTGAGCTTCAACCATCATTTGAACATCATCGTTGTTCGAAAGTTCGAACGCTGTATAAGTTAATGGCAACAATGATGTTGGAATTCTGTACTGCAACGACGACATTCTTCTGTTACTTCCAACATGAATCTTCCTCGAAATCTTCGTTATTAGCTCCTCAAGAGTTATGTTTCTCTTGAATGATATTTTAACACGCTCATTTGATACGAAAACAACGCCGGTTTCATCTTCTCGAATTTCACCATCATAATAAACAATAGCTGAAAGTCGCGTCATTCTTTGAGTTTAAAAGTGCGACAATATTATATATGCAAAAAAAAATAACTTAAACAAACCTGATTAAATAAATTATATATGAACGAAAATATAACACAATAAAATTTTTACACATCAACGTAAATAATTTAAATAATATAATTTTATATTATTACCTGCACCGCAAAACTATTTCGACGTATGCTCCCGCTTTTCAATTTTACAAACATAAAAATTAATTGAAAATAATTAGTATAATATTTTTTCAAATAATGATAATAAACAATAAGTATAATTAAAAAATTATAACAAAATTACCTTATAACAAAAAATCGCACGAACTTCTAAATCAAATTTGAGAAGATTGCGAGAATTATTACTCGTTGACGGAATTGTTGTATTAATTTATAAGAGAGGAGAGATGCGAGGAGATGTGAGCCGGAGTGTATTTATAAGCATATAAGGCGCGGTACCTGCACCGCGCTATATGCAATTATTCAGATAAAAGATATAGTACGGATCAGGGACCGCGTTAAATATAATTTTGGTATGGCATATAGCGCGAGTATAGCGCGGATCAGGGGGCGCGCTATACCCACGTGGCGCCAGATCATTGTATATCGCGGGGCAGGGGGAGCGCTATACCCACGTGGCGCCAAATCAGCATATAACGCGGTGCAGGGGGCGCGCTTTCCTGTTAAGGGTGTTAGACCGGGAAGTATAGTCTGACCGGTGTTAGATCGGTAATAATACCGATCACCGGTGATATACCGGGAAAATAGCCAGGAGAATTGACCGTTTCAGTTTGAGTGTAAAAATAGGGTTTTGCTTTCGTCTCTTTGATGGCTAACCTAATTTAAGTTTCCATTCATTGGGATTGGGATGCGGTGGAGGTGAAGCAGTGTTTTGAAAATCAGACCGGATCGGTCGGTTCAATCGAGAATCGTTGTCTAGTCCGGTTCAATCTACACCAATTGAACCGTTATTAGTGAACCGGCCAGAACCTCTGAACCGTTCGAATCGGGCCGGCTGAAAACACAGAAAAAATCACCAATTTTGTTTTTTTTTTAAAATTAAATTAAACGACGTCGTTTGTTAAACGAGCCAAGTCGAACTCGAGTATTGCTAAGCTCGACTCAAACTTGAAAACTTTAAAAGTAAGCTCAACTCGACTCAAACTCACGAGCTAAAAATTATCAAGTTCAACTCGAACTCGAAATATAATATTGAAACTTGAACTCGAAAAGGCTTGAACTCAAAAAAAATTTAGAAGCTCGATTGAAGCCTAAAATTCGAGCTCGATTGAAGTGAAAGAATAGTTTACTCAATGCTCACCAAAAGGCTCCATGATTTTGAATGCCCAATTACCTCTATTATTTATAGAAGTTAGTTGAGATGCTCTTCTATGTTTCTTAGCCATGTGGGATTGTTTTGTTCTCATATTTTTACTCTTCAAACTTTTGGGATGCTCTTCTATGTTTCTTAGTCATGTGAGATTGTTTTAAAAAAAATTAAACCAAACAATATCATTTTGTTATGATTTTTTTAGCCCCAAATTTATTTTTTAATTATAGTTATATAATTATATTTATAATTTAATATGTTTTATCTTAAATATTATATTGTAGTTAATTTGAATCATTTTGTTTCACTTGATTTTATGGTTTTTAACTTATATATGTTATGACTTACTTTGAATATGACTTGTGATATAAAATTTTTTTATTAAATATTTTTGGTATTTTTATTTAATTTTTTAAATAATTATGATGTCGTCCGGTTCGACCGGTTGAACCAGTGAACCGGTAGCATAGCCAGTTCGCTAACCGGTCCGGTTCTGAAAACCATGAGGTGAAGTAAGGATGTAAAAAATTGACTGAAACTGATTTGAGTTAAAATTGTTTGTGACTCAAGATGGTGATTATCTGAAACCGATTCTAGTTTGAACTGGTGTTGACATGAATCTGAGTTGGACCCAGAAATTTACGACATGCACCCGCCCTGAGAACAACTTAAACTTGAATTCGATATGATAATGTGACAATCGAATACGACCTACATCCG